CGCGGCGAAGTATTCGCAACGAAATTCAGAGCGAAATTCGCAATCTGTTTCGCCTGTTTATTCATACCAAAGCGTCTTATTCGCTCCGCGAACGTGAAGGTTTCGACAGGTTGCGTACATTTTATTTTTGCCTTTTGCAATGAGTTCGTCTTCAGAAGAAGAGGAGGCACTTCTATTTCTTGCTTTAGAAGAGGAACAAAATACACGGTAAGTTATGTTTATTTAACGCCATTTGATAGTTGGGTATGTATTAAGTTTAACGAAGCACATAAAACAAATATTTTCAATTTTGTTTAGGAAACGAAGGAAGTGGGTACATGATATTAACTTGGAACGAAATAAATTTGGGGAATACCATACCTTGATGCCACAACTTCGGCTGGATGAACAGCGCTTTTACGTATATTTTAGAATGACTCCAGAGTGTTTTGATGAAATATTGAACTTGGTGAAAGATGAAATACGAAAATCTGACACAAATTATCGTGAAGCTATTTCGCCAGAAGAACGACTTGCTATTACACTCAGGTAAAAAAATTATATGTATTAAAATTAGTAGGCTTATCGAATACGAAAACTTCAGGGATCGTGAAATAAATATTTTATTGTAATAATTGGACTACATGTTGCCACTAGGATTAAATGTTGCTAAATAATTCGAGGCAGAATTTGCCTCCTCTGTTGGGTATATTATTGGAGTAAACCCAGTGCCGCTTGGGAAGGACGACATACTACTATCATACATACTTGCAGAATTCTGGGTAGACGCTGAAGACATTTTTTCAATATGTTCAAATTCTTCGTGCGCTATTAATTCGGCTATTTTTAGTTTTATTCGGGCTTGACGCTTTAAGGGAAGTGTTTTCACAATCTGTGCATGTGCCAAGAAAAGTGAATCAATGGCCTCGTTCTCTTTTTTAGGTTTTTTACCTTTAAAATAATTAATGAGCTGTTGTACAGACGAAGATGGTGGTTCATAGCGTTTTCTGCTCGTTTTATATTTTGGTGTAGTTGCAGTCTGCGGAAAGGTGTGCCCTGGAGTAGTCACTGCTGTAGTGTTCAATGAAGAAGGTGGTGCTGTCTGTGTTGCCGAGGCGTTCTGTGCATCTTCTGCATCTACATCAGCATTTTCATCTTCTCCATGGCCGCGGTCTTCCAAATTTTCGGTTTCTACATTTCCAGCCCTTTCCTGATATATATTTGAGTTAAATTCGGCAGTCTCATAATGTATGACGTCAATATCTTTCACATTAGACGACGTTTTGGCAAATGCCAAAAAAGGACGGAAAAATTCCATGCAGTCAGCCCACTGCCATTTTTTTATGTTGCCCACTGCTTGGCCGGTCTTTGGTTTGGTAGATTTTATATATTTTGCAAATGTGTCTCTGATATTCTTCCACCTTTTTTTTACTTCATCACCTAAATACGATTTTTTTTATAGATTCCTTGCCACTGGTGACACCTTCTATACCATTGGGCATAGCTTTCGAGTTGGCTTTACAACAGTGAGTGCAATCGTAACCGAAGTCTGTGAAGCGATATGCAGACATATGGAGCATATATATTTACCAGAACCAACAGAGAATATATGGAAAAAATGTGCTGAAGAATTTGAAAATAGATGGGGATTTCCCAATTGCATTGTCAGCGTGGACGGTAAACATGTAACAATCAAGAGACCTAACAACAGTGGCTCCAATTACTGGTGCTATTTACATAAATATTCAATAGTACTTATGGCCATTGTTGGCCCGGACTATAAATTTATATGTGTTGATATTGGTGGTTTCGGAAAAAATAGTGATGGGGGTATTTTCGAAACCTCAGACATGGGAAAACGATTTGAACAAAATTTAATGAGTGTCCCTGCACCTAGATTTCTCCCTGGGCAAAATGAAATCTGCTCGTACGTCTTAATTGTGTGTTTTACACAATTTTTTACGAAGTAAAAGTGGCGATGATAAATATTGTCAATTCTTAGATCCCCCAGAACCCGTGCTTGGAGCTTTTACTGATATAGCAAATGATCCTCGGTGGGCAGCAAGGCTAGCATTTTCTACTCGTGACAAATTCGTAAATTAATTTAATTCTGATATGCCTATGCCCAATATGTAGAATGTTCGTTTTCACATTTGTGTAGACTGTAAATTATTTAACAAGTTAATAAAAAATATTAGGTACATACCATTTGTATTTAATTCTTTTCCTATTTCCATCCAAATCTTCTCTTTCTTTCTCACATTCCTGTATTCATCGTTCGACAAATCATACAAACAAGGATACTTTTTCACTATTTCTATCAATAATTCCGTTTTTGCCATTGCGAATTTTTGAAGAACGGCGTCAAAAACGCGGTCAAAGGCGAACTGAAATACGCCGCGATAAAAATGCTGGAACAATCGCATTCGCTTCGCACAAGTCTGAGCCTGTCCGTAAACCGCCGCGTTTTAATCTGATCGCGAATTCATCGCCGCGAAATTTTCGCAGCCAAAGCGAATATTTCGCGCCGGTTTGTGGGATGCTTTAGGCGTTGAATTTAAATATCATCTCAAAAAAACTTTAATGGATTTTGATGTCGAAGACTGACATCGAATACTGAATCTACGCACTCAATTTACGTGGAAAACTAGTTTCTATCTAGTCGATGGACGCACAAAATTTTTTGGAATTTCTTAATAGTTATTTTGAAAAGTAGAATTCACGCTAAATTTCAATATCTAGGCTTACAAATGTAGGTTTTAATTGCTTCATTCTGTGACACAGTGTAAATTGCCACAATTTTGTAAGTTCCACCGCTAAAGGGTTGAAGTGGGATTCCACATTTTACAACTTTTTGTATAGCATTTATATTTCAAATTAATCCATCCTAAAAGTAGGATTATGTCTTCAATTTTATCTTAAAATAATTATTATTAACAAAGAGTTTCAGAAATCACATCTCCAATATACAGTGAGAAGAAGTTGAATACTTCTATGACGACCTTTCAAGTCTATAGAATGTGGAGAAATTATATGAAAGAAGAAAAAATAATTGTCCAGGCAGTGAACCTCGTGTTAAGTCCTTGTCAATGCTTCTCTACATTGACATGGGCGCGTGTTGTCCTAGTTCACACCGTTGAGAAAAGAAATCTCATTTACAGGTTGCAATAACAATGGAAATCACAAAACATTCTCACACTAAAAAGCGACTGTCTATTAAACTAAAGTTGCATTTACCTTATACTGGCAAACTTTATTTTCCCACCATGCTTACACACGCTGAACTGCCAAAAGCGTTCAAAGCCGCGCTTAAATGTATTCAGGAATAAATTACCTGTATGCCTTCGTACATAATATACTAAATACTCCCCACGTATGAAGCATTTCAATGAAAAATAAATATTTCTGGATAGCTATTTCCCTTACTGTCAAATTTGGATTTCAAGTTGAGCAGAATTCTGCTCATTATTGTGTACCTCGACATACATTCTACCGTAAACCTATCTACTTTATATGCAAATATTCTTATTAAGCTCTCTATCGTGAGAGTATTAGATGTAGGAACGCGGATAAGGTAGTAAGTTATTATTCTAATGAAACACAGACGTAACATCCATTATACATCTTCTTCGTGTTGTTGCACTTCATATCTTCAAGCAGGTTTAGAAGTAGTAGCGGTGGAGGTGAACAATGTCGTTGCATCCCTGAGGTAACTAATACTATCTTGTGTGTGTACGTACATCGTACCACTGTTAATTATTAAAACTTTCATTTTACTTCTCCTATCCGTCATTGCCTGTCAGTATTGTAAAGTATTGTAAAGTATTGTAAAGTATTGTAAAGTATTATAAAGTATTGTAAAGTATTGTAAAGTATTGTAAAGTATTGTAAAGTATTGTAAAGTATTGTAAAGTATTGTAAAGTATTGTAAAGTATTGTAAAGTATTGTAAAGTATTGTAAAGTATTGTAAAGTATTGTAAAGTATTGTAAAGTATTGTAAAGTATTGTAAAGTATTGTAAAGTATTGTAAAGTATTGTAAAGTATTGTAAAGTATTGTAAAGTATTGTAAAGTATTGTAAAGTATTGTAAAGTATTGTAAAGTATTGTAAGTATTGTAAAGTATTGTAAAGTATTGTAAGTATTGTAAAGTTTGTAAAGTATTGTAAAGTAATTGTAAAGTATTGTAAAGTATTGTAAAGTATGGTAAAGTATTGTAAAGTATTGTAAAGTATTGTAAAGTATTGTAAAAGTATTGTAAAGTATTGTAAGTATTGTAAAGTATTGTAAAGTATTGTAAAGTATTGTAAAGTATTGTAAAGTATTACAGTATTGTAAAGTATTGTAAAGTATTGTTAAGTATTGTTAAGTATTGTAAGTATTGTTAAGTATTGTAAAGTATTGTAAAGTATTGTAAGTATTGTCAAGTATTGTAAAGTATTGTAAATTATTATAAAGTATTGTCGTGTATCGTAAAGTATTGTAGAGTATTGTAAGGAATTGTATACAGTAGTATAAATACCCGAAAAAGTCAGAGAGGAAGATGGGAAGAAGAAAGAAATGAAGGAAGGAGGTAGAACAAAGACGGAAGTGCGTCAATCTGAGAGTGCCTTGGCATTGTTAATTGGTATTCGATAAGTTTAAATTGACCATAAAATTAATTTAGAAATTGGTTGTTGAAGAAACGTTTTATTTTTGGTTGGACCTAAAGTCGCACGGTTTAATTTTGTTCACAGTGCGAGTCGCGGCCATGTGTGCTTGCAAACTTGCTCGACTGTGCAGTCTACCGACTTGCGCAACAAAGGGTTGCTATGCGATTCTGTAAGTTTATCAGTGTGTAAATGTTATTTATTATCTGGTTCTCTTGTCGTTTTGTTATGTCGCTGCTCTATTGGCGATGTCTTCACAAACTTTGGAGACGTATAAATTGTTATTATTATTATTACCATGATGCGATGTATCACAAACCCGAGATTTTTTCAAGCCAAAAGGCTTTATCATAATGCAGATGTACTGTGAAAAATGCAGATATATTATCTTGCATCAAACAATACAGTTAGGTTAGGTAAGCATTCGTTGAATATAATTCCGCTGTAACGATGAGAATAGAGATCATTAAGGAATGTTATAAAGGCCGCTCAGCTTCTTTGTGTTTTATGAAAATAATAAGTTGGATATCTAAAGGCTGGTTATAATGAATGTAAGAGCATTATTTGTATAAATCATTTTCAGCGGCTGAATTTCAGCGGAGTTGCAGGATTTATATCGATATTACGTTCGTACTAACGGAAAAGATAATGAAACTTTGTCACAATGTCTAACGTTACTCGAGATCAAAGATACTATACTAAGTGACATATAAATCCGAACACCCAGTTTAAATGATTTTATTTTAATAAAAGTTGGTGCATGTATATATCTTACTGTTACTTATCAGTTGGACATTCCGGTTGTATACTGCTTTTTTTTAATTCACTAACGCTCTAAAAATGAATATTTCAGCTGCAGTAAAGAATCAACGTTGGCGGATTTTGGTTCTTGACATCCTTTACGATCGGTTACGATGCCGAGAGTACGGAGACCTGTACGATTTCGTCAACTTAGTGAGTTTGATAGGGGCCGTATAGTGGGACTTCGGGAAGCTGGACTTTCTTTTCGGGCAATTGCAGTTAGAGTGCAAAGAAGTGTAGACACTGTGGTTAGGTGTTGTCAGGCATGGCTTCGAGAAGGCCGTACGCAAAGCGCAAGGGGCACTGGACGCCGCCGTAGAACAACAGACCGTGAAGATCGCCGCCTAAGATTATTGGCCTTAAGAGACCGTTTCTCCACTACCAGGTCCATTGCAAAGGAATGGTTTGCAGAACACGGAAGACCTATTGGCATGCAAAGTGTTTACCGACGAATTAGAAGTTTTGGCTTGTTTTTATACCGGCCACACTGGGTCCTCCCTTTAACTCGAGAACACCGACGTAATCGCCTTGAGTGGTGCAGACAACAGTCACTCTGGGATCAGGAATGGAACAGTATTGTCTTTAGTGACGAGTCTCGATTTTGTTTAGACATGCACGATGGTCGTGCCAGGGTTAGAAGGCGACGTGGTGAAAGGAGGAATCCACAGATTTTTGTTGAAAGACATGTTCATCACACTGTTGGAGTTATGGTTTGGGGTGCTATAGCTTATGGTTGCAGGTCACCTTTAATCTTCATCAGAGGTAACATGAACGTGAAGTACTTATACAAAATTTCATTAAAATAAAACCATTTAAACTGGGTGTTCGGATTTATGTCACTTAGTATATTTTCAGAAACTAAGTGATAGTTCACGCGACTCAAAAAGACTATGTACTACTGTTATTATTTACATAGAAAGCGATCTATGAAAACGGATGAAGTGACAAAATCTACGAATAAGCGATGAATTTGTAAATTTTTTTACAAAAGTCGTAAAAAAATCAGCAAATAAAAGCGAATATAATAAATTTAATTTACATGAAAGAAGATTAGTTAACTCATTTGGTCTGACCGAAGTCGATGCTCAAGAAGTTCTTAACACTATTATGTCCCTGAAATATAGGAAAAGCCCTGGATCCGACGAAACAAGAGCTGAACGTCTGAAGATGATTGCCGAGCAAATATCAGAATCATTTGCTTACGTTATAAATGTCTACGGTCTGAAATATTTCCCTTAGTCGTCAAATCAACTGTTAACATCGCCGCCTCCCAAACAGGCGATAAAATGACGTTACCAATATTCGACCAATATCACTCATATCGACTTTGGCTTATGGTATTCTAAAAACTACTCTTTAGCAGGATGATAAGTTCAAAACTCTATGTTCAAATCAATACGATTAATGCAGGAAAATTTACCGCAGATGGTATAATAAGTCTAGTGAGTCTAATCACCCACAACCTTGAAAAAATTTGTCGATATGAAAAATAGAAAAATTAGGACTTCGTGGGCCTCAAGTAGTGAGACTATCAAAATCATAAAGTAATTAAACGTTTATCAAATGTGGGTACAGTGTTAGACTCTTTTTTATTTAATATCTATTTGAATGATATATTCAAAACACTGGATAACAAATTTTAGTTTTTTAATTGTATCTTGTGGGAAAAGTGCACTTATTTGTTAATTTTGGGGCGCTGAATCCACAAATGACAATGAAATAAAAAAATTAGTTGCGGTTTAGAAAAAACTTTTTATTTTTAAGGATATATTAAAAAAAGTAACAAGATTCATATACCTATAAGAATCACTATATGCGCTGTCTTTTTGCTGTTCTTTTATGGATCGTTTCTGGAGCATATCTACCAAGAGTCCAACAGTAATCTGCAAGCATGGAAGGATTCCACTTTCCCTGGTACCTTTTTTCCATTGTTGAAATATCCTGACGAAAACGTTCGCCGTGCTCATCACTTACGGCTCCGCAATTGTCAGGAAAAACGTCCAGGTGTGAGTGTAGGAAATGTATCTTAAGAGACATATTACAGCCGATCTTGTGATACGATGACAGCATATTTTTGACAAGGGTTTTATAGTTGCCAGCTTTTTTATTTCCCAAGAAATTAGTGACCACCAGACTTAAATCATTCCAAGCAGTTTTTTCAATACGTGTTAAGTGTTTTCAAACTGTGTATCTTTCAAAATATTTCGAATCTGTGGCCCAACAAAAATACCTTCTTTAACCTTTGCCTCACTTAGTCTTGGAAATTTCTGACGCAGGTATTGAAAAGCTGACCCATCTCTATCTAATGGCTTGACAAAGTTTTTCATTAGGCCCAACTTGATATGCAGTGGTGGTAATAACATTTTTTTTGAATCTACTAATGGCATATGCTGTACATTTTTTTGACCTGGCTCTAGGAATTGACGAACAGGCCAGTTTTGTCTGGTGTAATGAAGTGCCTTTGCCCGACTGTCCCATTCACACGAAAAACAGCAAAACTTTGTGTAGCCTAACTGCAGCCCAAGTAAAAGTGCAACAACTTTCAAATCGCCACAAACATGCCATTGGTGCTCATCGTATTTTATGCATGTCAATAGGTACTTCATATTGTCATATGATTCTTTCATGTGAACTGCATACCCTACAGGAAGAGATGGTAAAATATTTCCAATATGCAATAACACTGCCTTTAAACTCAATGTTGAGCTGTCTATAAACAATCTCCATTCTTCTGGGTTATAGTTTATATTTAAAGCCGCCAGTAAGCCGTTAATGTTACTGCAGAAAACCAAGTTATTCTCCATATTGAAAAATGGTTCTAAGTCTTTGTGGCGTTTACGAAAAACACATACCGAAACATAGTCTTCTAACAAGTTCCACTGCTGCAGTCTTGATCCAAGTAACTCTGCCTTACATTTTGGAAGTTCTAAATCTCTTACAAGATCATTTAATTCTGACTGTGTTATTTTGTGCGGTTGGTGGCATGACGTGCTCGGTATAAAATCAGGATCTCTTGACGTTGATGGCATATCTTCTTCCTGACGAATCACTCGATCGCCATGATCTGATTCGTTTTCTGATTCGCAAGTGTAGGACTCTGGGGGTTTTGGAATAGGATTTTCGTCACTGTGAGGCACAGGTCTTATCGCAGATGGTATGTTTGGGTAATAAAATAACCGATTTTTTTTTCTTGGACATACCTGTGGCTTGTCCAACACAAGGTACCATGCAAAAGTAACAATCATTAATATGATTTGTAGGCTCTCTCCAAACCATTGGGACAGCAAAGCGCATAGACCGTTTTTGCCATTTAACCAGCTCCTCAGACTTGAAGCACATGTATTACAGCAGATGTGGGGTGCCCACTGTTTGTCTTGATCACCTAGTTTACAACCGAAATAAAGCTGATATGCCTTTGTTATTAGTGGAGTAATAGACCGTCTCTGAGACGTAAAAGTCACATCACCACACACGTGACAAAACTGATCTGGATTGTTTACACACTTTCGAGACATCTTGCATGAACGCTGTCAGCCAACTGAGGAAAAAATGGCTAATATAAAACAATATAATGTACACGTATGTATAACGTAACACAATCATGCCGATTACATCATCTTTCCTTGCCGAATATAAAAATGTAGCACGTGCATTCTTGTGAATTACAGTATATTAACACTGTCACAGCAGGAACACATATAATTACCGTATCTCTAAAACTTGAACTAATATTGAAAAAATAAGTTTCATTCCGGTTTTAGCACATTAAAAAAAGTAATATTTTGTTGATTTTGTTTAGGATATTTTTTGGCTGTTGATCAGTGAAATTAACTGTTTATGTTAAATAGTTTCGCTGATGAAACGGCAATAGTATATAAAGGGCAAAACTGGTATGACATAAAAAGAATAATCCAGATTGACCTTTATAAATTCATTCATTTTTTCAGCACTAGAAAAAAAATCATTTTCTACAATTCATAACATACGCAAGACATCTACCCGATTATTCGAATATTTCCCGCAAAATAAGCAATACAACTCTAAAAATTGACAGAGTGGATCGTATCAAATATTTAATTTTTTTTTTTTTAGATCAACATTTTGAAGAAAAGAAGGTTTGTTACATGAATTCCATAAACTCCATGAAGGCGTAGGAAGTATAGACTTAATCTATTTGACGCCGTTCTTTTGTTCACAGGAATAACCTTCCCCCCTAAAAGCAAAATCCCGGAGTATGTATCGGGTCGCCCTTTACAAACAACGTATTTCCGGAAACCCCCATGTCACCATAAATCCATCCATCTGGAACATCCTGGTGATTCGACCTTGCTCGAGACTTATATTGAACATCGAATGTCCGCATCGTGTCCCCTAGATATTTCATAGCAGACAGGCAAGCAAGTAAGCAAGGGTTTACCGTCCCACGCAACACGCGTCCCTATCAATAACCTGGCGTGTCTTTCAGACTGTCTAAGCCGGCAGAATCGCCACCGGCGATATATTTGGCAGGATTAGGGCCGCAGAATTGACCGACGGCGCTCACAGGCCGAACCCACGATACTATAGGGGCATTTCACCGACAGCGCAAGAAAAGTGAGGTTTTAAAATTCGTTTATATTTAGCCTGTTTGAAAGTGTAGTGGGTGTGAAAGGGAAAACACGATTTCGCCCCACACAAATAAAGAAATCACGAAGGATCTTGGAAAACGATCTGCATGCACTCGCGAAGCCTCGGTAGCGTTTTGAAGATCCTCACCGTAAATTCAAATAATATGGATAATTCCGATATTCCTGTATGAATGTGACATTTTTGTTATCGTTCTTTAGAACGGATGTGTAAGAGATTTGTTTACCAATGCGGCCAGCGCCTGGATTGGGTGCTGTCTTGCCGCAGAATTGACCTACGGTGCTCACAGGCCGAGCCCATGATACTATAGGGGCATTTCACCTTCAGCGAAAGAAAAGTGAGGTTTTAAAATTCGTTTATATTGAGCCTGTTTGAACGTCTAGTGGGTGTGAAAGGGAAAACACGATTTTTTCCGGAGCACTTTCATTTCGCCCCACACAAATGAAGAAATCACGAAAGATCTTGGAAAACGATCTGCATGCACTCGCGAAATCTCGGTAGCGTTTTGAAGACCCTCACCGTAAATTCAAATAATATGGATAATTCCGATATTGCTGTATGAATGTGACATTTTTGTTTTCGTTTTATAGAACGGATGTGTAAAAAATTTGTTTACCAACGCGGCCAGCGCCTGGATTGGGTGCTGCCTTTCAGACTGCCTAAGCCCGCAGAATCGCCACCGGCGGTATATTTGGCAGGATTAGGGCCGCATAATTGACCGACGGTGCCCACAGGCCGAACCCACGATACTATAGGGGCATTTCATCTTCAGCGAAAGAAAAGTGAGGTTTTCAAATTCGTTTATATTGAGGCTGTTTGAACGTCTGCTGGGTGTGAAAGGGAAAACACGATTTCTTCCGGGACACTTTCATTTCGCCCCACACGAATGAAGAAATCACGAAGGATCTTGAAAAACGATCTGCATGCACTCGCGAAACCTCGGTAGCGTTTTGAAGACCCTCACCGTAAATTGAAATAATATGGACAATTCCGATATTGCTGTATGAATGTGGCATTTTTGTTTTCGTTTTTTAGAACGGCTGTGGAAAGGATTTGTTTACCAACTCAGCCAGCGCCTGGATTGGGTGCTGTCTTTCAGACTGCCTAAGCCCGCAGAATCTCCACCAGCGATATATTTGGTAGGATTAGGGCCACATAATTGACCGACAGAGCTCATAGGACGAGCCCACGATACTATAGGGGGATTCCACGTGAAGCGGATAGCGAAAAAAAGTGAGGTTTTGACATTCGTTCATATTGGGCCTGTTTAAACACCTAGTAGAAGTGGAAGAGAAAACACGATTTTTTTATGGCACGTTCATTTCGCCAAAAATAAAAAACGAGTCACGAAGGATCTTGAAAAGCGATCCGCATGCACTCGCGAAGCATCGGAAGCATTTCGAAAGCCCTCACGGTACATTCAAATGATATGGGCAACTCCGATATTGCTGTTTGAGTGTGGCATTTTTTTTAGAACCGATGTGTAAAGGTTTTGTTTACCAACGCGGCCAGCGGTCTCCGACCCTGCTCCGCGATTTACTTTCTTTTCATATTTATATGTCATATGCACAATAAAACAGACCTCCCTAACCCGTGATGGCTTTATTTAATGAGCGCAAATCAAATCATCGGTGAAAAATCGCCGCTAGTTTCGTATAGTCGCTCTATTCAAGAAATGTCAATACTCAAGACATGTAGAATTAAACGTATAACAAGGGTATAGTCAACGCCAAACAAAGTGGCGTGCACGTCATCAAGGTGGGTGTGTTGAAAAATTTACATTGTTGCCAAACTTTTTGTAAAATAATAAAATTTATTATTTACATATCTAGGTTTATAAGCAATATTAACCTCAAATGAGAACAAAAATAATAGTATAATAAAATTATAGATCTGTACTTGCATAATCATGAAGTATGACAATTATTGATCAGATGACACTATGAAACTACCATATTTAATTGATAGCTTAAAGGTACTGAATAAAAATCCAAATGGGGTCCTCCAAATTTTATGCATGGTATTTATTTTACAGAATTCATACAGAAAAATGCATTCTAAAATTAGGTAAGCTACTGGTGTAAGCTTTTTCTGTACAATAAAGTTAGTCGGAGTTTCTTTCTTCAGCGCTGTCTGAATCTGAATCTTCATCACTCTCAAAGTTGATTATTAAAGGTTCGATGTCTGGTCGATAAAAAATTCGTTCTCTTTCATACCATTTAAAAATTTCTTGCTCAGTATGTCGAACACTATTTTTCCACATGTCTGGGGTAACCGTTTGTAGAGCCTCGTTCCACATATCCAAACAGTCTTTTTCACTGTTACCATCTCTACCAATATGTCTGTTATAGTAACCTTTTGCTATGCCCCAAATTAACTCAATAGGGTTAAATATACAATGGTAAGGAGGCAGACGAAGAACTTTGTGCCCATGTTGTTCCGCCAATTCATCAATCACGTATATTTTAGGTGGTTTGTTTCTAAAAAAGCAGTTATTTTAAGAATAGGAATAAACAAAAGAAATATAAACTGTCGACCAAAATATATATAATTAAGAAGCATTATGTACCGAGCAACAATACTCAATAGCTCTGTTTTAAACATTGTGTTTAAAAATGGTATGTTTTGATTTGTCAAATAGTCTTGGATATTTTTTTTGTCCATGCATTGTTGGGCACTTTGTTCAATATCATGCTGTGATAAGGGGCGTTATCCAGTATAATCATAGATGGACTCTCCAATTTTTCTAATAACTGATGTTGAAACCATTTCAAAAAATTGTCCTGGTTCATCTCTCCATGGTAATCGCTCAATTTTGTTTTCGAAGAAAATATCGCTTCACTACCCTCAATAAACCCATTTTCATTTCCAGCATGTAATATAATGTATCTAAAATATATTAGTTTTAAATTTTATAGTGCAAATTGTGTAAAAGTACATACCTTTTACCATCTGTTTTAATAGCTTTCACGCTTTTTTGGTTTCCATTTTGCCAAGAGCGACCTATGGTCCCATTTTGAAATATCCAAGTTTCATCGAGGAAGACAAACTGGTATAAGGCCTCAACCTTGGCTTGATTGTATTGCCTTAGAAATTCCACCCTTTTCAAAGCTATACTTGGTAGTTCCATGAGCCCTCGTTGCGGATTGTCCTTAAGCCACTTAAATCCAAGATCTCTAAGCGACCGCCTTAAAGACGTGGCATTACCATCAAATAATGCCCTATCTCTTAATCGAGACCATAAAGTTTGTATCGTAACTTGTTCTTCTGAAACCATGTGTAATATGACATTATAATTTAGTTAACAAATTAATGCAAATTTCTGATAAGTTATTATAATAAGATCTTACTTTTGTGATACATATTATAGATCACTTCTCGAATGGCACTTGTATCCAATGTCGCTGTGTTGGTTACACGTTTAATATAACTCCGCTTTTTCTTGGGCGATTCTAAATTTGCATCACTTTTCACACCCTCGGAAATACGACTAACTGTCCTTAAACTAATTTTTAAAGCAGCAGCAACACGCTACAAAAAATGAAATAAAATTTCACTATTATTAATATACATTACATATAATTATTAGTAACCTACCTCTTGAACAGCATTTAAAGGCAACAAAGGCCCCTTGTTGTCCCTTTCTTGCTCAAAGTAGTGCATTAACGAGGCCACGAGTTCCTTACACCGACTATTTAACAGTTTGGGCATCTTTATATACCAAAATTGCCTTTATCTACTCGTAAAATGAATAATTTTGTTTTGAAACAAACAGTTGTTGATTTACAGTATGCGGGGCCAAAGGATTTATAAAGATTTGAAATGCCACAAATTGATTCAGTGTCAAAATTAATACAAATGTCAGTTCCCAGTTTAAATAAGTTTCAAGGTGACAATGTGTCAACGTTGCGAAATCGGTTTAGTGCGTTTACATGTCGATAAGTGATTGGAGCGTTTGTAAAACATTTTATTTCGCATAATGCGTCTAAATTTATCAGAAAGCAACTTATGTGATATTTTAATAACAATGTTTATATGACTATTAACCATAATAAGAGAGTAATGACCATTTTACAATTTATATATCACATTAATATGAAACTGCAATAGAGCAATTGTTTGTGATAGAAACCTAGGCATTAGGTCGGGGAATTTTTATCGTGATGACGTGCACGCCACTTTGTTTGGCGTTGACTATATATCTATGTACTCCATTGTCACTTGGGAATAAACGGCATTCCTTCATCAATTTCTTCTAAAGCAGCGTCATCGTAATAGTACAAGTCTTTCGATAGGCGCTATCAGAAGGTCTTTTGATTATAAAAACGACGTCAGGTGCAGTTTTGTATCGTATTCGCGCATTCACTATCAGTAGCAATGTAACAATTAAGGAAACCTTGAAGAAGGAGAAGAGAATAATCTTTTCATTTGGCACCCAAGATGTATGCTCAACCAATATGAAATTCGAATTCGGGAATGCCTTTTATTATTCATTAGTTGTGAATTCCAAAAATATCTCCCGACAATGCATTACTTCTCCCATCAGCGTCGACGTTCCCTCGAATGTTCTTAACATATAGTACCATCACAAATGATTTTCATCCATGCTCTGAGCGTAAAATTTCTCACTCCCTCCGTTTTCGTACAGGATCCCCCTGAATCCAATCGTATTGACCTTCAAAGTAAAATTCCACCGAGAGACTTTTAGGTCACTCCACATAAAATCGATACCAGTAAAATCTGCTCCAGGGGTCCTAAAAAACCTTTACGACTACTCATCATTTGATATACATTAGAAACTTCGAGATAAACTTCTGTATGGCAACTCTGTAGCTAACCAAAGTTGAGGATACATATTTTATTTAAATGGACTCTAACACAGACAGATGTATCAGAAAGTTACGTTATTTTCTCCCTTTTTATTGCAGCGAGTCTGTCCAGGTCCCCTGAACTTGAAACAAGATACATCAATTTAGGTAAATAATGCTGTTTTTAATGGCATTACGTCGCAGAGGTTGAATGATTGCTGTTTAACACAGTTTATGAGTTTCGTTGCAGCTCAAATCCATTTTTTTTTGAGACTAAACATTGAAGATTTATTACACTTTTATCATTTGAATGAATACCAAGCTGTAAAACTTGTTTTTTGAAGGCAATTTATCAATCCTCAAGGCATTTGGCCAAAACGAAATTATCACAATTAAAACAGAAACTCGCTTGTTCTCCAACTTGCCTCGCACAGATTGCCATCTAAAAAAAACAGTAATAATATAAATAATAATCTTCATTAAGTACACGCGAGTACATACAGATCTAACACCAATCCCAACTAGCAAAGTAGTGGTATAAGCTTTTGGTAAAACAACCGTTCAGCCATAAAAGCTCTCTATTGTTGTTGCCTGAACACCAAAATGCTGGCTTGATGTTGTGTGGAATGCAAATTTGCTTTCTGCAACATATTTGCTCTAAAGTGAGGTGTTTAAAATATTCTTATACCATAGTTATACAACACCTTATAGGGCAAATTTTCAACTGTTGCATAAACGTTTATACAACTATTTTTTACGGCATATTTGCACGTTAGTCAAAATGGTTCTGTTGTGGCATCCATGGTAACGTTTATAAAACAAACCCGAGCCTTGTTGTTTTGCTGTGCAATTTACTACTTTAGTCAACAAACTGCTCCCAACGGAAGCACTTGTACAACTGTTGTTTAGTAACTGCTAAAGGCTGTGTGTACATAACCTAACTTTTTGCTGTCATATTTTTGTTAAAATGCCATAACCAATGTTTTAAGACAAACAACGCATGCATATATATACTTTCACTTTCACCGATGGAATCCAAATTTTAAACATCATGATCCAAATTAACCATAACAAAATTGAGGTATCTGCAATTTATCGTCCGCCATGTTCAGAACCCCACGAGTTTTTGAAGAATATCGATTTTATTTTTCAAAATCAAAATAAAGTTCATTTAAAGCAACATATTTTCTTGGGAGATGTCAATATAAATATTTTGGACAATGATCCCATCACAAATGAATACTTGAATATCCTATCAAGTAACGGATTTCTGTCCTATATAAACCTACCTACAGGGTCCATCAGTGGCACATGTATAGATCACTGCTTTGTGAAAGACCTATCCAACATAATTACTTGTTTACCAATAATCCTAGAAAGCGATATTACTGACCACTTCTCCACTATTTTACTGATATCTTCAAATGAAAAACATTCTAACATCCCTACCGTTAATAACAACCAGGAAAATTACAAATTTTTTGTCGACAATTCAAAGCTAATATCAAATGTCAAACAAGAATCCTGGGAACAATTATACTCTGTAAATAATATAGACAAAGCAACGGGACTGTTCATAGAGAAAATAAAAAACTAATAGATATTAGTACCAATACAGTAATAATTAGTCACAAAGAGAAAAGCAGAAATGCCTGGATTACCAAAGGATTAATAACATCGGCAATAGAAAAAGAAAGACTATATAATGTAATGAAACTAACGCCAACTACAGAGAATACCGACTGTTACAACCAATATAAAAATAAAATTATAGAGCTTGCAAGGCAAACCAAACGAAAACATTACCTAAATAAATTGAATAATAACTTAAACGATCCTAAGCGGCTTTGGACAACTATTGATGAGATTACTGGGAAAACAAAATTTAAAGAGTGTGTCACTGAGTTAAATACAACATCGGGAACAGTATTAAAAAATACTCAACAGATATGCGATGAATTTGTACAATTCTTTACTGAAAATTTAGCAAGTAATATACAAGCAAATGTACAAAATACTCAGCCTCCAAAAAGAACTTTGAACTCATTTAATTTGGATAAAGTCGAACAATGTGAAGTATACACCACTGTTATGTCCTTAAAAAATCGGAAAAGTCCTGGGTTCGATGGTATTAAAAGCGAGCTTTTGAAAATTATAGCCGAGGAAATAACAGAACCACTCACTTACCTAATCAACAAATGCTTTGAATCTGGCATATATCCCTCAATTTTAAAAAAAGGTGATATAATACCGATACATAAATCAGGAACAAAAACACATGTTAACAACTATAGACCAATATCAATAATATCCAGTGTAGCAAAGGTTTTTGAAAAAGTTTTATCTACTAGAATGATTCGATACCTCACAAAATTCAAAATTTTAAGTGAAAATCAATATGGATTTACAGAAGGGAAGGCTACATCGGACGCAATAACTAAAATTGTAAATCAAATATATCAAAATATTGATAACAGAATCCCTTCAATCTGCATTTTTGTTGATTTAAAAAAAGCTTTCGACACAGTTAATCACAAATTATTATTAGAAGCATTGGAGAGAATTGGTTTCAGAGGAAACGCGTACTCACTGATCGAAAGTTATTTGTCAAATCGCCCACAATCTGTGCAGATATCAGGATCATTTAGTAAAGAAATGTATATTAAGTGTGGTGTCCCACAAGGAACTGTCTTAGGTCCGCTGTTATTCAATATATATTTAAATGATATTTTCCAAATTAATTGTGTTGGCAAAATAACTAGTTATGCAGATGATACTGCAATATTATATGAAGGCACTGACTGGTCTGATCTGAAAAATGTAATTGAAAATAATTTTATCAAAATTATTCGGTGGTTTAACGGTAGAAAATTAAGCATTAACTACTCTAAAACACATTTTTTACCATTTGTATCTTATGCTAGACATCTGCCAATTTACACAAATTTCTCCTTCAATATTAATGATCAAAAAATGCAAATTAATAGAGTGCCCAACATAAAATACCTTGGAGTGGTCTTGGATCCTCACTTACGATGGGACATCCATGTCAATTATATTTTAAAGAAAGTTAGATTTGTATCCTACAAAATTAAATACCTTGGGAATATATTGACAGAGAAATATCTTCAAACATTATACCAAGCACTGATTGAGCCTCATCTCACATATGGTATATTAGCATGGGGAGCTGCATGTTCCTCACATATCTATAATTTAGATGTTTTTCAAAAAAGTATTCTAAAAATGATATTTAAAAAACCGAAACTTTATCCCACTGAAAAATTATATGCAGATGTTCGAATGTATGATATAAGACAGCTTTATTTCTTACACAGTATCATTCACTACCATAAATTTGTAAACACCGACCAAAAAATTAAACATAATCATTATACCAGGTACAAAATTCGTGGCACAGTAGTTCCTCAACCGCATAAATCTATAATGCAGCGATCATATCTCTATTTAGCGCCTAAATTTTATAAAATTATACCTAAAGACTTAAAAGATTTACGTTTCGGAAATTGTTTCAAAAGAAATTTAAAAAAGTGGCTACATTCTATATCTAGGACTGAAATTCATAAACTCATAAATACGAACATCAACTAAATACATAATCTACTGTAGCTAATTTTTGTCCTTTTTTGTCATTTGCATTCTACAGTTTCAACTTAAATTATTGGTCCATGTACAGGCGATGCCTTCTATTGGGCCTGTTTTGATTTTATATTTATTTACTCATATTTTTTGTTATCTTTGTACATTGAGTAAATAAATATTATTATTATTATTATTATTATTATATTGGTTCAAAATGTTTTATCAACTGTTCAAACAGAAGATATAGATCTGGTACAAATTGTGGGTAAATCATTCGACTCTGTCGGTATTTCATTTCAGACATTTGTCAAATTGTTGTATAACTCCTGCAGGCAACACCAAAAATTCTGATAACCTAAAGACAACAAGGACGACGCCATGATTATACACAACCACCCGCCATATTGGGCAAACATTTATTCCTCTATTTAATATTAAATAATTATGTTTCAGTTCGAATTTATAGATATAAAGTGATAAACATTAGTGTAATTGTGTCTAAATATAGAATTTGTGTAAGATTTAACGCAGATAAGTTCAGTTGTCCATCTTAAAAATCTAGACATACTTTTGATCATTATCAAAATATGAATCAAATACGAAGCCCGTAGAAATTGCATAACTAATTTTCACGATAATCACAATAAAATTTGCTGCGCAAGTGATTCAATAGCCCTATATCACAGTGTAGAATTTATTATATACCTGTGTATGAAATTCACAATGGCCGATATCTAAGTAAACAAGATGACTGTAATGTGTTAGTTATATATTCTTCTTCGTCTATACAATACATAAGAAATAGTTTGGTTGCAATAATGTAGAATCACGTAACAGAATAGTTGTATAGTTGACAAAAACTGAATCTTGCACTGACGCAAATGTCCTATAGCGGCTGCAAGAGGCTTACACTTTTGTTATATAACTATTACCTGCAGCTCTTGTACAACCTCTTAAATGACTGAAATGTCCTATAAGGTGTGCCCATTCCGCTTGTATAGCAGTTCTAAGAGGGTTTTGCCAATGTTCTTACAGTATACAATGCTGTTTAAGGAATACTGTATAATCATTCTTGCAACTCTAATAGGAGTGATAATTGTTAGTTGGGATGAGTTGGGTTGCAGTAGGGCTACAGCCGTTCAGAACGGTTGGACGGCATCAACGTTTAGGCAACCAGTTATGCGACTACGCATCGAGAGCATTCGGCACCCATCGAGAAACATCTAACGCCATCTAGCTTCTATGAAAGCTCGGAAAAACGCGAGATCGCTCTGGACTCGTCAACTAGAAGATAAATACACCCCGAAGGCTGAGTGGAGTCAGAGTCGACGATGAGTTAGCATCACGTGACACGATAGTCCAGTCGACTTAGTCATAAATTTGTAGTAGGTTAGTTGCGAGTGTTATAATAAATTAGATTTAAATATCAAAAACGTTGATTTTGTCAGTGGGCTTTCTGCAGGACCTGCTTTCGATGTATTGACACTAACAAGTAAGTGGACTGTGGTGAGTGTTCAAAATCAACTCTCTTAACGTCGCCTTTCCTTGTACTGTTATCACACTAC